GGAAAAAACAAAACCTGACCGGCTTTCTGAGAAAGCAGTTTGCAATTAGGCTGGGTGTTATAAACCAATTCTGGTAGCATATGATCAAAGACCTGTTACTGAAGGATGAAGTACAAACTTCAGGAGTTGATGGAATACCAATTGAAATATTTCAAAAAACGGATGAAGCGCTAGGAATACTCACTAGTCTATGGCAAGAAATTTGGAAGTCAGTTAGCTGGTTGACTGACTGGAAGAGATCCATATCTGTGTTCATTCCAAAGAAAGGTGACCCAATAGAAGGCAGAAATTATCTAACAATAGCAGTAATACCAGTGCAAGTAAATTTTTGTTGAAGATCCTTCAAAAAAGGACACAGCAGTCCATTGACAGGAAGTTGCCAGAAATGAAATTAAAAGCAGGAAACATCAGCAAGTTGTTTACTTGTGTATTATTGATCATGCAATGTCTTCAACTGTGTGGATCATAAGAAACTATGGATAACATTGAGAAGAATAGGAACATTTCATTGAAATACAGCATGATTTAGATTCAGGAAAGACATGAGTCAGTGTAGACTATTTTCACCCTACATAGTCAAGCTGTATGCTGAGAAAATAATTCAAGAAAGCTGGACTATCTGAGGAAGAACATGACATCAGGATTAGAGAAAGGCTTATTAAGAGGCTGAGCTATGCAGATCACACAACTTTGCTTACTGAAAGTGACTATCTTAGAAGGAATTGAGGCATTTTCTGATGAAAATCAACAGCTCCAGCCTTCAATATGGATGACAACTCAATGTACAGAAAAGCAAAATCCTCACAATCGGGTCATTGGGCAACAGACTGAAATTGTCAAGGATTCATTTTACTTCAATCAACATCAATGTTCATGGAAGCAGCAGTCAAGAAATCAAACAGCACATTGCATTGGGCAAATACACTTACCAAAAAACCTCACTGCCATTGAGTCAATGTCGACTCACAGTGACCCTATAGGATAGGATAGAACTGCCCCTGAGAGTTTCTGAGACTCTAACAGGAGTAGAAAGCCCCATCTTTCTTCTGAGGGATGGCTGGTGGTTTTGAACTGTTGACTTTGTGCATTGCAACCCCACATGTGACCACTACTCCACCAGGGCTCCTGGGAAAATATAAGACCTCTTTAAAGTGTTGAGTAAGGTGTGCCTGACTCAAGCCGTGGTATTTTCAATCATCTCATATATGTGTGCAAGTTGGACATTGAGTAAGGAAAACCACAGAAGAACTGGATCGTTTAAATAACCATGTTAGCAAAGAATATTACAATTTCTATGGGCTGATAGAAGAATACACAAATCTGTCTTGGAAGAAGTTCAGCTCCTTAGATGGATCTCATATGCTCTAAGCCTCTAAGCAAGGATCTCATATACTCCAAACATGCTATCAGGAGACACCAGTCCTGGGAAAATAACATCATGCTTGGCAAAGTAGAGGGTCAGCAGAAAAGAAGAAGGCTGTTAACCAGACACACTGACGCGCGGTAATTGCTGCACCAGTAGACTCAGGCGCAGGAGTGATGATGGGGCGGTGCAGGTCTGGGCAGCGCTCTGTTCTACACGGGTTGCTAAGAGTCAGAGGTGTTTCAATGGCACCCGACAACGAAAGAACAAGCCAACTTTGCCTCCTCCAGGGACTCCTAAGTTAGTGGTTGTTTTGGCTGTTACCGCAGAGCTAGGGAGCAGCCCTTTGGGTGTGGGGGTTATGTGTTGGGCTGCTAAGCTCAAAGTCAGAGGTTCGAAACCACCAGCAATTCCATGGGAGAAAGTCAGGGCTTGGCAACAACAGGGGAAGTTCAACTATGGCGTAGGATCTGTCTGAGTCAGAATCAACTTGGTGGTGGATTTGGTTTTTGCAGAGGTTGGGAGAAAGGCAGGGAAATAGACTGAATGGAAACACCACAAAGCTTGCCGTTCCTACCGAGATTTCATTTTGCATGTTAACTAAATGCCTCTAGATGGTTTCAAACTTTGGGTTAATTTTCAGAGTACTAAAACAAAGTGTATTTTTGACAAATTTTTACTGTGTTCTTGTTTTAAGGAAGAGTGGATTTTCAGAGGGCTTCGCTATTCCAGAAGTGCCTCCTTGACAAAGACTTAGAAGGTTACATTTCGAAACCGGCCGCCTCCAGCTCCGAGCGAGGTTGCTGCGCCCGAAGTGCTCTCCTCCCGCAGAGGCGTTTGTGTCGCCAAGCTCCGCCCCCCCGGCGAGCAGACGTGACCAGCTCATAGCAACTCTGCCTCAGTTCCAGAAAAAGGGTTCCACTGCCCATGTTCCTCTAATGGAAGACCTGCCCTGTCATTCTCATGAAAGTAAGATACGGTTGAGCCCACTAATGTTGCTTCAAGTCAGCCTCTCACAGGTAGCAAAATGAATGATCGCTCCTCCCTTACTGGCGATTCAACATACACTGGGGCTTTAAAATGACTCTTAAAGGCAACTATTTCCAATGCTGTTTTAGTGTTCCCCATTGTGATAGAAAACTGCTTAATGTTCAATAAAAGGGAGGCCTTAGAAAAGAGTACATACTTCGATAAAAGCCATAATAACTGTACTCTCAAAAAAATATGCAGCCCTAAGAAAGGTGAGGTCTCTGGGTAACCAGATTTGTAATTTCTGACCCCGCAATATAAGCATTCTAAAAACTTTACATAACTCGTTCCATATGGGGGAGGCAGTTTGGACTCTAATTTCTTTGAACATAGCCCCCAGCTAGATGTGCCTGTGATAAGTTGGATAAGGAAGGGCGAGGAAGAGTGGCTGCCTTTGAATTATGGTGCTGCTGAAGAACACCCGAAGTACCAGGGACAGCCGAAAGAATGTCTTATGAGCTGGGTTGCTAACAGCAACGTCAGTCATTTGGATCCCCAGACACTCCACAGGAGAACGAGGAGGCTTTCTACGCCCACAAAGATTGCACACCCAAAAACTCAAAGGAGCAATTCTACTCTGTCCTGTAAGGTTGCTCTGAGCCAGGATTGACTTGATGTCAGTGAATTTTAAAAAAATAAATGTATAATTGTGTGAAATATATGTACAGTATGTGAGTGTATGTGGAAGTATGAGTGTGGAGGGCGTGTGAAGTTTGAGCATATGTATAGTGTATGAGTGTTTGTGCCAATGTGTTTGAATCCATGTGTATGAATCTCGCAGCATATGTGACTGAGTGTGAGCATATGACGGTGTGATTGTGCGTCAAGGCCTGAGTATATAGGTGTAGGAGCAGATTCATGATCGTGTGTGTGTGTGTGAAAGTATGTACAATTGCTTGTGGAGTTAAATGTATGAGTGTTCAGGTGTGTGGATGTGCAGGATTGTGCATGTGATTTTGACTGGGAGCGAACGTGTGAGTAGTGAGTGTGCGTGTGGGAACTATCTGCAGGCTGGAAGACAAGCGGGCGGGTGGCCCATTGCAGCGTGCAGAGGCAGCCTTGGCTCTCCCCTGGCCTGTGGAGGGCAGGTGCCTTCAAGCAGGGGGTATTAGGTGTGCACAGATGGAAGAGCTCCTGCCAGTGCTAGTGCCCGCACCTCTACTGGGTTCTGGGGGCCAATGAAGACAAGGCTCTTGGCCTCTTGCCCCTGCCCTTGCTCCCACACACTGGGGACAGGGCAGATCTCGCAGGCACTGGTTTCCTTCCCAGGCGTGGAGGAGGTCACCTGGACACATCCCCTGGCTATCTCTGTAATAACACAAGAAGAGCAAGGCTGCTTTGTGCCACTCTATTTTCCCTAGAGGCCTCGTGAAGAAGATCCTGAGGCAGGAAAGGCTGAACATGCCCCAGAGCTTGCTGAATTTTCTTGGTTTTGTTGCTGTGATTGAGAATAGACACAGCAAAGCACACGCCCATGCAACCGTTCTACACACAGAGCTCAGTGATGTTGCAGCCCCTCTCACCGGCATGTCCATTGTTATTGCCCATGACCGTAAACTCTCCGCCCCTCTGGTTCTTCTGAGCTTTCGAGCTGTTGTCCTCAATAGGGTCCCACACAGGTAGTCCTTAGAAGAGTCTCATGCTCACGGCCAGCGTTAATAATTCAGCTAAATGACTGGTTTTCAGAGGACTTCCGGTGGCATTTCTGATTTAAGATTTAAAGATGATCTCAGGTCAATAGTTTGGGGCATCATCAAGCCTTCATGGCTCCAGAAAGTTTGGAGAATGAGTCATGAGAACTGGGAATGCTGTTCTGCATGTTCCCACTTTTGGTGGGGATTCTTGTCTAGAACCTTGGATCAAGATGTTCTGCTAGGGTAGCTGGGGACCATCTATTCCTTTTGATCTTATGGCAAAGGGGCAGTTGTTCATAGAGGCCATTAACTGCAAGTTGCATCTCCTCATTCATTCCTGACGCCTTCTTCTCTTGGTCTGGGCGAAAAGAGACCAGTTGTTGTACCTTGGATGACTGCTTCCAAGCTTGTAATAGTCCATGCATTAGGAGGTACACAAGAAGCACTGGCCAGGGCAGTGGACCAATTAATGGGAATGTCCAATGGAACTCTGACCCTAAACCCTCTGGAGATTGCTTTTTAAATCCTGTTTGTGTTTGAGGACCAGTGAGCGTAGCTCCTATGTTTTAGAGCCAGATATTAGCTGGGCCGATGGCTGTGTATACATTACCACATAAATTTCTCCCGATAACCCATAGTGAACCCCATGAGAGTCAGGCTGAGATGCTTACAATGCCACTGGATCCACAAGACTTCCCACCCACTGCCCTGTGATCTTCCTAAATTTGGCATCATTGCATGTGTTTCATAATCCTGAAGAGGAATTTATAGATTGGTATCGGACATATGGGCTAATATCAGATTTACGGACTTGATCTGGACTGGGCTGGGATGTTTTCTCAATATTCAACTGCTCTTATATTTAAAGCTCTTTCTTATACACATATGAGTCTCTCTGGATTTGTTTCTCTAGTTTACCCAGACTAACAGACTTGAGCTCACAGCCAACCCTGTGTGTCTGAATAGAAAGAACTGTGCTTGCTTAGGCAGCACAGAGACAAAAGTTGGAATGATACAGAGAAGATTAGCATGGCTCCTGAGCAAGGATGACATGCAAATTTGTGAAGAGTTCCATAGCTTTTGAACAATTGGTCTTGCTACATATACTGTGTGTGTATATATGTGTGTATATATATAGTATTCCAGCAAACCTGTGACTGACATTCTCAGTGAACATGATTTTAAATTTTCCCTGACAATCAACTCCCATGTTTGTGTAAATAGCATCCAGCCACAAAAGGATTGACTCTGTACAAGTGAATAATTCAGGCACTGTGATATAGAGTTAGCTTTCATTGGCCCAGTACACTTCTCTCAACGGGGCTTTAAAAAATTAGTACCAGGGGCTAATCAAAGACAATATTAATGGAAGATCTTTATGCCCCAAGGGGACGATCAATAAGACTCTCTACCACAAATTAACAAGGAGGTCTTGAAAGGGAGCCAAAGGCAGACTTGTTTGAAAGTCAGGCAACATATGGGTTTTGGGCTCGCACTAAGTCCTAGCTCCAATTTAAGAACAATTACTTCTTTCATCATGGCCCTGTTCAACACTCACCCTCAGGAAGGGAACACAGAAAACATGGGCGCTATAGCAAAATCTGGTGAAGAAATTAAATGGTGCCAGCTATCAGATAAAATAGCATCTGGGGTCTTAAAGGCTTGTTTCCAAACAAGTAGCCATCTAAGTGAGATGTCAACTAAGTCCACATGGAAGAAGCACACCAGCATCAGTCACCAAAGGATTGTAAATCATATAATCCGAAGCTGAAGGAGGGATGGTATCAGAGACCAAACTGTGAGAATCTAGTTTGCAGAAGGCTATGCATGACAGTGGGAGCCCGAGATACAGATACGTCGGAAATCAACCTCCTGTGATTTCCCTCTATCCATAAGAGAGGGCTGGGAGGAAAGTGGTTACCGGAGTGCACTGGAGCGAAGACTACAGAAGATCAACATGAGAACTCTGACTTGCATGGTTAATATCTTGCCAGCTGATGCCCTGCCCCGCCCCCCGCCCCCCTCACCTTTGATGCACCTTAGGCCTGACCTGGTCTTCAACATTCTCTGCATTTTGTTGTCTTCGTCTGTTCAGATTGGGGCTTATCGCAGATGTGTTGTGTCCTTGGGGGTCGCCCTCTTGGATTTTTGTTATATGTTTTTCCAGCATATGAACCCCAGGACAGATGAATCTTTAGGGACAGCAAGTAGAATGAGGATTTCTGTGGGGTACAGTAGTGGTGGGATAGGGGTAGGGGGTAAAAGGAAGCTGATGTCAAGGAGTTCAAGAAAAAAAGAA